ATGAAACTCCTTTTATGTTTATACAAGTAATGCATAATAGACCAGAGGATAAAAATACAAAAATTCTTCTTGTAAGCATATTTATATGTACAATATCTCTTTAAAAGAAAAGAAATAAAACAATAATTTCAAAGATGATGACAATCATGCAAGTTACACTAACACCACATTGACGATATTCCAAAATGTTAAAATCAATCATTCTGTGAAGGTGTATGGTAAAAGCAGCACATTCAAAACCTACCATAATGGCATGTACATCTTCTCATGATCAAATTTATTCACTTCTTAAAGTATATATATAACTTTTTTACAAGAGGCAGCAATGCACTGAAGTTGAATTTAAGACAAAAAATAAAATACAGCACACAGTTTTGCCCTTATCCCCCCCAACCCTCAATAAAAAGCATAATGACACATTTTCCTTTTCCACATTTCAAACACATGTAAAAACATATGCATAAATATAAATAAGCATGCTTTTTACTTCTCCTCAATTTCTGTATGTATACAATGACAATAATTAATCAATCAATCACCATATCTGCCAACCAACAAGATTATCGCTCCTGTGGGGAAAAAAATATTAAAAGAAACTAAACCTCATGCCATTATTGATAACCAATCAGAGACTTCCCACCAAGTGATAAAGCTTACAACTATATGATAGAATGAATCACCTTGAGTTGGTAGAGTACAAAGTCTCAACACATTGGGACTTTGGCTAATGACATCATTAATCCTCATAAATGCCGATTGGCTGGTGAATGCTTCCAGCCATAGAGTAAGTTAGAAAAGTCTATCGAACACCTCATTTCCTTTAGAGGTCAACTTATTCATTCAAAAAGTTGAATTATTCCAATATGCAAAGTTCAAAAAAATCTCACTTAGGTCTACAACAGATGCATTAGTCTGTTTCAAACAAGTTCTCTTTTCCCACAGACAACAGGAGTGTAACCAAGCTACACTATCTAAAATGATAAAAGAAAAGCAATGTTAATATCAAATCTATTGATTCAATGACAACAATTTGTTTAGCATAATAAATACAACTATATCTTAGGATTCCTTGTCTTTACTGAGAACAATTAAAATTTCCACTTAACCCAATGCCGCCAGGTGGCCTGGGGCCCACTGAAGGGGGATCATGTCGCCACCATAGCGTGTGTGGCATGACCATACGTGCCCCTGGAAAATGGGGGCATGTATGGTCATGTATGCACATGCCAACTGGAATATAGCCCAGGCATGCCATGGCATGTATGTACATGCCACCTGGCAGCAACAGGTTAATGTCCTGTGAAAGGCAAAACTACAGCCAGAGAGCCCCCAAAGGATAATCATAATATATCAGGAAGAGAAGAATCTGAGAGTGCACTGGTAGGAAAACAAAACCATACATCTGATGCAAAATTGTGAGAGTGGGAAGAACAATTTATCCCACACTCTATGCTCTAGACAACAAGAAAAAGAGACTTTAAGTCTACTTTTGAGGGGTTGTCTCTCCTCAATAAGTGCAGCTACAGCCAAACAAGCAATCAACTGTTTAGCAAGCACAACTTAGAGCAGGCAAGACTATGAATGACATGATATGGACCTCCTCCCAGCATAAGGGATGGTCAGCCATTAAGTAATAGGAAAGCAACTATTTTGAGTGGGTTAATGTCCTTGAAAATATAAACAGTGGATTTCACAATTACTTAATTTAACCCTGATAACAAAATTTCCACCATATCTTTATAGGACAAACAATACTTTATTTACGTTACCAAATCAGAAATGGGGAAAATGTTCCCACTCCAGGTACACAAAGTCACACATCTGATCATAGTACTGAATCTCATCTATTCAATTAACTATTTACATAAGAACAGTCTATAGCTTGATAAAGTTTTAGTATCAAAATACCAAGATTAGTACTACAAAATGAATGATGAATATATATGCAAAAATAAACTTTACTCACTCAGTTTTGAAGTAATAAATACATCCTTCCTTTCCAGGCCAAACTCGGGTAAAAGCTGCTTGAGGGCATCACCTATTTCAGTTTCATTCCTGTACACTGCTGCTGTATCTGAAAATACACATAATTCTAAATCTCCTTAAAAGCAAAAATACTGACAATAAGAATGTATTGTCTCACTCAGATCTCTTTTTCCTACTTTTGTATTTGCTAAATCTTAGAACAGTCAACTACAAAACTATAAAATAAAATACACATTTTGATTAGTATGGTCTTATTGTTTATGCTATTCTATCAATTCAGTACAACTGACAACCAGCAGCTTTTCAGCACAAATTTCAGGAAGCTTAGCACAAATCTACTACTGTTCAGTGATGCTGCCTACCACTGTTTTTAACCCATTCGCGATGGGTAAAAATGAACTAAAAATGGGGAAAATGCTGTGCTCATTTTTTATATATTTTGTGAAATGTCTCTACACATAGATGGCTCTGCCTTACCTGATTTCACCTTTACTTGAATTGGCAGGAAAATGTATTTTTTACTAGTGCTATGAATACGATGAACGTAAAATATTTTCGTAAATTAACCCATTGCCGCCGGGGAAAATGAACAAAAAATGGGGAGAATGCAGTACTCATTTTTTATATTTTTGTGAAATATGTCTGTCCATAGATGGCTCTGCTTGTCCTGATTTCACCTTTCCTTGAATTGGCAGGAAAAAACATATTCTTACAAGTGCTATAAATATAGATGGTGTTATTTTTAACAGCAAATTATTTTCGTAAATCGATGAAAAGGGTGAACGGGCGAAATAGGCAGTACTGTAATTGGCTCATTGGATACTTAGTACAAGTGTAGCCATCTATGTGTAAAAACAATCGAACAAGTCGACTCACAGTGGGCATGGCATGTACGTACATGCCATCCCCGGCGGCAATGGGTTAAAGAAGAGGACGAGACAGGCAGTACAAGTACAAGTGTAGCCATCTATGTGTAAAAACAATTAAACAAGTAAACTCACAGTGGGCATGTCACGTATACGTGACACTCGGCACGAATGGGTTAAGACCTTTCACACATTGATAAAGCATTTCTACTCCAGTGAATTTAGAAATGTTGATGCTCCTCCAATTCATCATTAACAAAATGCTGCTGGGGAAAATGAATAAAAAAAGGGGAAAATGCTGTGCTAATTTTTTATAGTTTTGTGAAATATTTCTGCACATAGATGGCTCTGCTAATGCTTAGCCACAAAAGAGGCAATTAGTAGACCTTGTGACCTTACCTGATTTCACCTTTCCTTGAAATGGCAGGAAAAACATATCTTTCACTAGTGTTATGAATATTGATGGTGTTAATTTTATTATAAATAATATAATTACTATAATGTTATAAAAATTAGTAACAGTAAAATCAGATATTGTAAAATATTTTTCGTAAATCAAGGAAAAGGGAAAACGGGCGAGACAGGCAGTACTCATATTTGGCTCATTGGAGACAGTACAAGTGCAGCCATCTATGTTTAAAAACAATTTAACAAGTAAACTCACAGTGGGCATGATATGCATGTACATGCCATGCCCACTGTGAGTTTACTTGTTAAATTATAAGCAAAGTTTACCTCGTACCATCTGGCTTAACCCACTGCCGACAGGCATGGCATGCATGTACATGCCATGCTCATCGGCAATGGGTTAAACTGACTGGAAAATTTTTAATAGAGCAACTAGTAAATGGAGGAGAAAGTAGTGATGAAAATGATAATGCAATTAAAAGTTTATTGACAAGATAATTCAGTTGAGGTGAGATGGTTGATTGTGATGCAATTGAAGAAGTTCCATGGATGATGTACATGTAAGATCCAGGAAAACAGAAGCAGGGGCTCTAATTTGTAACTGAACATTTTCAGTATAATATGGGCAATTATCTTAGCGGAGTGTTGAGTGACATACTGCAAGTTTTGAATAATCAATTTTCCCATACCAATAATCATTGTGCCTCTTTAACTCTTATGATCCAGATGACATGAGCATCAAGCCATGAAAAAAATTGGTGGGTGACATGAACATACCATTATGGAAAAATCTGGCAGAAGGCTGGGATGAAAGAAACTTGCTGTCATGAGAATTTCGGCTGAAGGCCAGGGTGACGGAAATGATTTGCCACGAGTGTGATCATCCATGAGCCATGGCTGGAAGAGTGCTAGCTCCTGGGAGGATACTATTTCCATGCTCAAGATCCAATTCCTGTCTGCCATGACAGAGCGCAGTTTGTATTACAGGAAATATAATATCATGAAAAAAAATTTAATTACACAAATAACAAAATGTTACTGATAGTTATTATTATTCCACTGAGTTAGAGACTACCTTGGGAGATGATATGGAATGTGTGTAAAGAAGACAGTCTATTACTATCTGGATACAACATATCAAATGACAAACATAAACAATGAAAAATGGAAAAAAAGCACTTATGCATAAAAAGAGATGATTACATTGCAAATGGAGGCAAGGAGTCTTGACACTGCCAATGATGCCAGACGACTGATTGCATACCATAACTTCCTTATTGACACTAATAAAAATAAAGCTAAAGAAAGTACAAGCAAACCATGCTCTGAGAAACACACAGCAAATGATATGGGAAAAGTTATAATTGCTCTCTGAAATCTAGACATGCTCAATATTTTTCTGAGATTTCAGTCCGGCAAAAGTCAGTTGAGGAATTAATCAAATAAGTGATGGAAAGACCAAACAAGCATGTACCAAAAGCTCTGTATCCTGCTAGTAGTGCTGCCTTTATCACGGAATGAATTAAGTCTTTCCCACGTGTCTTGTATGTCCCAACTGTAAAACAAAGAAATAAATGAATAAGTAAATAATGAAATCACAAGTCTTCCACAGTATAATTTTCATAGCCTATGCAATGCTGTATTTCTCTTAGCCATACCTAATTTTCCTACATGAAGTAAGCATACCTCATTGAAAGACATTGCATTTAACCTGGATGTTAGTATGGCATATCAATATTTACTATGAAATATAAATAAATATTCCTTCAGATAAACCTTCATCTCAGTAATATATTAGAAAACTAGCACAAGTATAAAATAAACTGGGGTGACTTTAGATACTATTTCAATATCTTTTTTTACTAATTCTGTTAAATCTTAGAAGTATCAAAGTGCTGTGCTAACTTACATTCTTTGACATATCAACAAAACAAAATTACCCTGATATTCAAAATCTAACATCACACCACCTAGAAATTTTCTGCCTTTTCTAGAATAAACCAAATATTTTTATCTAACCAGGAACAAAATTGCAGTGCTAAAGGGAAAACATGGCTCTTGTTTCATCCTACAATTATAAAACTTACGTCCAACCAGTGGCATACAAACACCACTGGCAAGGGTTGTTACCTGCTGCATAACAACCTGAAAAGGAAGGAAATAAATATCACCAAGAAATCATACACTGGTGCAGATCTTGTTCACAAGAAGGGTGAATTGGCAATGTGCACATGGACAAACACCAAATTAGTTTATGATTTTAGAGATTGCTCCAAGGGAGATTATATTATAATTAACTTTTAGAAATTTGTTGAAATAATGTAATGGACTATATACCAGTCTTTCCTGGTCCAGACAAAACATCTTCATCTATTTGCTTCCTAGTAAAGCATTAACCCCTGAACAAGTTTTGCTGTCCTATCAGGGAAATAAGTGATAACTTTTCATGATTATGCTTCCTGTCTTTTAAAATTCTTTTATAAACCAAATGAACTGTAGTTACATATATTTTATAATCAAAATGTGTTTTTGGAAGATCCTCCATATTTTTTTCAATGTCTCTTTCTTTACACTCTTGGTGCACAGAAGGGGGTAAATGATGAATCTGTCAGTTGTACAACAGATGGCAGTTTAAAACTCACTGACTAGTCAGAACCAGATCCCTCCTAGCAAAATATACATATTGGAGATTTGTTGGTCTTTCCCAAAGTAACAAAGTGTTTGCTTTCCACTACACCAAAACCAGGTACATAGCAAGTTTCATGCAGGTTTAAATAGAACAAAAGTTGTTTTGAAAACCACTGGCATGCCTTCTGAGTGACTTGCTGCCTTTTCCTTCTTCATCACTCTAGCAAATGGCTAACAGATCTCCACATACATATTCTGCTGAGATTGAGCTTACACACAACCCTAACTCTGGTATAAGCCTTGCAAAAGACATGTGGTGGGGATTTGTAGGCTTTGCTGGTAAACCAAAGGAATGGCAGGTACAACAATCACAAGGCATAGTCCCAGGAAAATACAGTACTAATGATTATCCAGTTATTTTTGCTTAAAAGCAATGCTCACACCATCTGCACCTTCATCACTATATTAAGAAAATCTCCTAAAGAAATATTCCAGCAAGACTGAGCTTGTAGACCTCTCTGGTAATTTGCTATCATAAAAAGGGACCCATTCAACCACAAACCAACCTGGAAAGATTAAGCTCAAACTTTGATGATCATTTGTCAAGGTGGGCTACAAGATTTTTTCTTATAATGCATGGGATGGACCTTATCAAGCTGTGTTGGAGTACTGACAAACATGAAGGTTGCAGATAGAGTTTCAGCTTCACAAAGCTAGATTGTACATGGTAAACTTTCCTTAAAATTGACAGAATGACAAAAAGAAAGAATAAAGTAAATAGATAAATATATTGTCTATGGTATTTTCAATATAGTTTCAGTTTCACAGTCATATGATACAAGGTAAACTTTGTCTGTAGTGGATAGAACAACAGAAAATGACACTTTTCATCTATGCTATGGCTATTAAGAAAGTTATGAAACATGTAATACTTTGTTATAGATTTACAGGAAAATGAAATAATACAATCATAGAGAAAGAGAAAAAATACAATGACAGATGCATGAAATAATCTGCACAGGCAAGGAATGATATCAGAAATGAAGAAAATAGGTTGGGACTAAAGTCGCACAGAAACTAAGGCTAAAGCAATCAGGTGGGGTTCTGGGGCAGAGCCTCCAAGAGGAAAATTTGGCGATTGGATGGGGGTATAGGGCATATTACAAGGTGATTAAAAGCAAGGTTG